GAAACACGTTCTGCAAATCCCCTGCAGTATTGTGCAACAGCAGCCTCTTGGGCATTCCATCAGGGCATCCCTGGGTCAGCAGGTAGCCAGGCATTTGCATTTTCAGTGGGGATTTTGCTCCTTTGGTCTATCAAACTCACTCTATTGGGCTCTCAGGATAAAAATGACTTAGAAATATTTGGTTTCCTCTCTAGTTCAAGGTTTTCCAGCCATTCGTGCTTCTAAGGTGAACAAAATAGGAAAGCAAAGGAAAGCAGCCAGAAGTGTAATGTGAGCAGTTAGAAATACAGATGGAAACTAACCTGAAATGCTCCAGAAGTCTCAGAGGGGTGGCCATGTTAGTCTGTAACGGGGAAAGGGTAAAAAACAAGGAGCACCTTAGAGACTAACAAAACACGTGGACGGTATCACGAGCTTTCGCGGGCACAGCTCAGTTCTTAGGATGAACCAGTTCTCCTCTCTTACAAAGACCACAGATTTCCCTTGCAATGTGGCCCCAAAATCTGTGCTCACAGTGCTACTGCAATCGTCAGGGCTGGGGCCTGGTTTTGGTGAAGGATTTTCATTAAGACACCAGATGGGTCACAGAGCAGGGAGAAGATGAGGGGTTGGGCCTGTGTGACAGACCCGCCCCCGATGATCAAACAACTCTAACAAAACTCTCTGTAGGAACGACAGAATGGCCAGTCGGTTTTTAACACTGATAACTTGGTAAGAAGCACAATAGATTTATTCCTGGCTGGAACAGGAACCACCAGCACCACCCTGAGACACGGATTGCTGCTGCTTCTGAAATACCCAGACGTAGAAGGTACCACCCAGAGAGACACACACCATTTTTAAATTTGGGGAAATGAGGGGATTGCAGGCCTCCAGGTATGTCAGACCCCTGGCCCTCTAGTCACCAGATCAAATATAGCTTCGGCTGGAGGTGGTGCATCTCACTACGGTGTAAGCTGGTCACTGGATGACGGGAAAGGTGTGTGGGGAGGGGTGTTTTAGTTCAGTGGGCGTGGGCAGGTGTCTGCATGGGAGAAGCACCATCACACCTGCCATTGTTCCACCTCCTCATAGGCGGGCTT